AGTTTTCTCATTCTCCTATTCCTAGTAAACTCTTGCGCCTTCGCGGCGTTATCGTATTGCCAGGAATAAAATGAGTAAAAAATATATATAGATATTTTCGTTACTTTTTTTTACTATAAGTAAAATAGAATTTATTGCATAAGGAACGGCAGATTTGATGGAATATTGGAAATATTGGAATATTGATCAAAATCAAATAGTTACATAAAAGTAACTATGTACCTAGTCTCGAAATGATGAACAGAAAATGAGACAGGGAAATCCAAAGAATAACGAAAGATGCCTTCCCGAAAATAAGCAAAGTATTAAAACAGAAATAAAAAGTTTTGAAACAAATAAACCTAGGTTGGACAACGACGTAATATGCAATTTTCTAGATGAAAAGGAATGCTGGAGAGATTTTCTTCACAGATGAAAAATATACTTGAAAATGTAGTTCTAATGTCGAATGCTAAGAATAAGATTGACTTAAGATATGAACAACGTTGCACTTTTCTTAAGAGCAACGAGCAAGTCAGACGAAAGACAAGAACAACAGAACTCATAAAGAGAAAATATAAATTTCTGGGACGCATAATGAGAAAAGATCTAGACAATTTAACATGTCACACCAACAGCGAAAGAAGCAGGGATAAATACCAGGAAACGTACTTAACGAACATGTACGTATGTATGGGAGAAAAGAGAGAAAGATGGATGGTAAATGGTGTAATTTTATATAGAATAACAACAGCCAGGAAAATGTGGAGAGCTATGATTGAGGCATAAAAATAAAAGTAAACTTATGATTAAGCTAGTCGAGATGACTATCAGTAGAAATATATTATTGAAACAATCTTGCAAACAGCGTTCCACTGCTTGCACATGTCTTGTGACTTACTGTTAATATAGATGTATTGAATATCAGATTGTCGTTTACTAAAGTACTTTTAAACTACAAACATCTACGCTAAATCTGTCGAAGTTGTTGAAGAAGGAATTGTGCCAATTTAAACCATAAATACTGTAATTCGAAACAATTGAAAATTTTTGCCTGGAGCTATTCTGTGCAAAAAAATTTTGGAGGCTAAACAAGTTTAAATAATGAAGTTTGCACGGAAATTCTCTATAGTTGATTATAAAACTGGTTTACCAGTTCCATAAAAATCGCATGTGATTAAACTTTAAGTAATTTTGCAGTTGGATCGGACTGAAAAAAATAGCCAAAAAATATATGTTGGCTTGTATAACATTATGCAGTATGAGTTCTGAATATTAACCATTTGAAGTCTGACTTCTTAAATTCCTTCATAACAACTCAAATTTCTAATAACACATGATTTTGTTAAAGTATTTTCACATCAAATAAGGCGATAAAAGCCACTAACACGGAAGAGTTTTCTGAATGTCAACAAACCAGTGAGCACAACAACAGAACTAAAGTCAAAGAAATAGAATATGACGATTGACATTGCATTTAAATTTGTGAATATCATAGTCGACTGGAAAACAAGAAATCTGAAGAGATTTTCCAAAAGCGAAAAGGACGGAGAAAAAAAAAAAACTATTAACATGGAACTTACAGTTAGAGTGATTTTCCAAGCGTAGCTTAGATGTGCCACAAGGCCGAAAGTAAGGGGCACCAAGTGCGGATCGAACTCACTATGTCGTAATTGTTCTTGCGAGACAAGCTTGTTAACCATTACATCACCTCGAGGTACCCCAAATGATTTTCCAAGCGTAGCTTAGATTTGGCATAAGGCCGAAAGTATGGGACACCCATTGAGGATCGAACTCACTATTCACTCATAAATGTTTTAGCGAGAGAAGCTTACTAACCATTACACCACGCCGATGTGTCCAACTTGCGGTTATATCTAGCAATTTCAGCAGTGAAATGATGAGACCTTGCTGCCAATCTAGTACAATATTTCAATTCGTGAGGTCGAGATGCCATCAGAATAATTATAGTGATAAATATGGTTGGAAAGGATCGTGGAACAATGTGAGTTATTGGGTGTTTACGACAGTGCGAAATTCATTGAAGCCGTGATGATAACTGATGTTGACATTCATTATTATTATTATTATTATTATTATTTTATTTGATTTGTCAAGAATCTCTAGATATAAAAGCAGAAGTAGCATATCAACCGTGACAAAATATTCAATGCTCGAACGAATGTTTGACATATAAATGTGTAACATATTCTTTTATCTAGGCCAACATATAAAATCAACTTTCCAAGCAGCAGGCATAGCAATTGCTTTAATATAATTTCCCCACTTTATTTCGGTTAAAAAACATGAAACGAAGTAGATGGAGGAGGTTGATCTTCAGGAGAGTAGAATCCAGCTGGAAGGCCAAAAAGGTTTCAATGTGAGGAATTAAAGATAGATGTTTTGGAAACGTTAAAACTGACAAGTTCATGTGTAACCTCCGTGTGTAAAATTGATCAACTGCATCAGCAATTTGTCCGGATTTACCCGCACGTATCCCAGGGTCCTTTGTACTTCTAAGTATTGACATATCAAATAATTAAGCAAATACTTCTAAAATCCTGACAATAGCAGGGTAGACTGATCTCTCGAGACTCTGATGGACGACACTCGAGAGTAGAATCATTCTTAATTTGGAACCACGAGGTTGGAAAGGTGGAAACCACTCAACAATATTTCCCAATAGAGCATGCTATTCAGAGATATTTTTACAAGATGATCACTCTGCACAAGACCCAAGAGCAACTCAAGGTAGCGGTTGATGGGAATAAACTGCTCAAGTTGGACTTATATCTGACCAAAGCAATACATGACTTGTCTTATCTCTGGAGAATAAAAAATGGTGGAACTAACGAATGTAGTTCGCATGAACACTTTCATTGAGATAGCGATAGAAGCTTGAGACGTATCGTCTGTGCTGGAGACAAACATGATCGCCTGGACATGACATTTAAAGAGAGTAGCTAGAGAGACCATGCCTATAATAAAATAAACGTCGACAAGTGAAAAGAAATAAGTAAAAGTTGCTGTTGGCCAATTTATAGAATGATGCTGAAGATTCTGGATGTGCGGGTATCGATTCGACAAATGCAATTAGCGTGTCGAATTCAAATTCTAGCCGATAGCTGTGCATTTTCTTTCTCACAAGTATCTGTGGAAAGGTATGAATTCACATCTCTCCCTAAGGATTTAATAACATGGCCATCTAGCTTTGATTGGCAACAAATCTAGGTGAAGGTACCTCAGGAACTGTTGGGTGTGGAACTAGTAATTATATATAGTAAAAATACGTTACAGAATTATATCGTGAACGCTTAGCGCAGTGGCTCTATTCCCTAATAGGTGCTAAGCGCAAATGCTATTCATTTTAAGCACGCATGTAGTAACAGTTTGTATAAATCTGCGAAATGTCCGAATAAAGAAATGGCGTATTTAATGCAGAATGTGTTGGGATCTGTTCTATCAGTTATAGTGGCTAGATAAAGATAGTCATCTTTTGAATCCTATAAAACGTTTATATTCTATCCGTTCTGCTTCTGTTAAATAGTTCTTATATTTTTAATAAACGAAACGGATCATTGAAGTTGCCCAGGCGGCACACTGCGACATGTTTAAAATAGGAAGCCATATCTGTTGTCGCTAATAATGTATAAAGATGCCCATGTTTTGCGCAGAGAGATTTGCTCTAAGGAGATTATCCAATCAAATTATTGAATTAAGCGTTCAAGTCATAAATTGTTTTTTCTTTGTCATTAAAACATGTCTAAATTGATAAATGTCGATTAAATGCATAATAAATTCCGTGCAACATTGACAGATGCAGGCATCTTCGGTTTATTTGATGCTTTCACGTTTTCAAACGTAGAAACAATGCCCTGAATAAAGTGAATTGAAAATGTCATACAAATATAATTTCAATATAATGTACATCAAAATACAAAATACATTATTACATCTGCACATTTTGAAAATAGAATAAACTCTTTGCGCTATTTTCATTGTTCGGGGTGATGTCCTCATCTTTGTTGTCATAAAGCGTTGGTTAAAGTAAGCCAGTGAATTGACCCAAAGAGATGTGAGTTTAATACCTGGCCACAGCAGAGTTGAACAAAATCCAAGAGAGTTGAGTTAAAGGGAAATAACTCAAACTGAGATATCTGAAAGAGGCATAGCACGTGGAACTCTATCAAAGTGTTCGGCTCGAAATTCCAGTTGTGTGAAGAAGGCCGTAGCGAACAACGACCGAAACGTTAGGAATATGACAACAAAGATGAGTACAATAGTTCGAACAATGTAAATCGTTGTAATACCTCATCTCGGAAATATGAACAGATAAAGGATTAATTCATATGAAAAATATAAGAAAATATCTTCTTTGTTTTTTTAAATCAGTATTTTTTAGCGCCATCAGTCCCCTTCCTTCAATTAAAAATATTTAATGAACCCAAAATCCACATATAAGATCTTTAAACCGTGTGTTCAATAATAAAGTGACAAAATAAAAATCTTGAAATGTTTTGCCTTTGAAGAAACAGTAAACAATACATAATTCTATTTTTAAATCCTGGCTCAACGATCTCAATTTCCTAAGCATTTTTTTAATGTTAATACCATATTTCTCCGGTTTCTGAGGCATCATGTATATGCACATAATCTGTTTCTTTATTAACCGCTAATTATCTTAATGAGAATGATAATAACGAGATTTTCCGTTAAGTTGTCCTTTTTTTTCGACACGTAAACGCCGGTGACGACACCGATCCGCAGTCTATCCTGCTATTTAGTAAATAACTGAAAGGAAAAGAGACGGATTGATGACGTTCACAGAAGAATTATTGCGAAAGTAAACGCAACAGACTAGACCGGAATTGAAGACGACTGGTTGATTCCGTTTCTGTGGAGATAGTGTTTAATGTGCCGCCATATTCTAATAACAGTTAGAAGAATACAAGTACATCCTTACTGAGTTTTCTTCCGCTTTAAATCTTTGAAAATTTCATTGAAACATACTTCATCTATCACTATATATTTATATTGATGGCTTTCTGTACTTTTCTACCTGTAGATGGATAGATACAAATAGCAGAACAGACAGTCAGATAGATAGATAGATAGATAGATAGATAGATAGATGCAAAGAGCAGAATAGATGGACAGAAATATGTGTATAGATATATAGACAGAAAGTATAGATAGTGAGAGAAAGTGTAAAATAGATTGATGCAAAGAGAAGGATAGATAGATAGATAGATAGATAGATAGATGCGAAGAGAAGGATATATAGATACAAAGAGCAGGATAGATAAATAGATAGAGAGAGATAGCCAGACAGAAAATGTAGAACAGATAGATAGATAGATAGATAGATAGATAGACAGGCAGAAAGTGTAGGAGACAGATGGATAGATAGATAGATAACAAGTGTAGAATAGATAAAGAAAGAGAGAGAGAGAAATGTTACAAATCAGTCGAGTGTTATTTCCAAATTGGAACTATTCAAGAATATTATATAATTCAAACAAAACTTATCTGGGTTACCATTTGTAAATAGTTTTATATTTCCTGTATTACATGACAACGTCGGGAGGATTTTATTTTTCCATCATTTTTCTCACTCGTACAGTGCTTATTTGTTATGGGATGATTATTAATTTTCAAAATTTCCCCTACTGAACGACATTTTTTTCCACTAATAATAAACACTAGAACTATCCGTTTTCCTATTTGTATTTGAGTAATCTTAGCTCTTAAGCCAATGACCGAATAAGCTTACCGCGAGTTCTACGGCAATGAAATATCAGTAGAAATTCCCCAATTGCATCGTTATATGTTTAAGTATAACAACTTTAACAATATATTGCAATAACAATTATAAATAGGAATGCTGGTCGTTATTTAAAGTAAAGGTGTACAAATGAAAAGATATATGATTGACAACTTTTCCCTTTTCACTGATAAAGACGTTAAGTAAATAATAGAATTCACCTCTTCTGTCTTATCTTCTTTCTTTCATTCTTTTTCTCACTGAAACCAAGTAGCGTGTCTGTCAAAGCTTTTTCCGTCGTTCAACGCCATCAAAATGGAAGTGTCCATTATTTACGATATATTGGCAGCAGACATTAAACATTTCTATCTTCTCTTCTTTCGTTATTTCTTTCTTTCTTTCATTTTCTTAGTGAAAACACTCGGCGTCTCTTATATGTCTTTTCTGTCTTTCCATGCGATCGAAGCAGAATAGTTAATAAGGCATTGGCTGGGCGTAACGTAGCTGTTAATTAAGGAACCTAGAGAGGGCCAAGCAAAATTATAATTACTAAGCATATTAGAAAATTCCTGGCGGAATGTTTATTCGAACAGGTAGGTTTATTTTATAAGTTGAAAAACGCAAATTTATATGATTGTTATAGACAGGACTTGTATCTGGCATATAAGAGTATTAGATATATTATTTCCTTTGCATGGTATCTCACTAGACTCCGCTGGAAAGAACATAGCCTATACTTTTTGGTTGAATAGTTTCAAGAAATTTTCGTTGCTCTATATGTTACAATTATTTAATAAAATTCACGCGAAAAAAAAACACCCATAAACATGCACGTTGTGTTGAACATTTTGGGAATAGCCTTTTTTTCAAACAAGCTTTCATCGTGTATCACCTTGACCTACCTTGACAAATATTTGTTGTTTGTTCAAATACGCTGCAAGCAAATATTGGATGAGATCCTTATTCAAGGTATATCATAATTTAAAAGAAAAATATCTGTCATCTTTGCCAACGCTGACACATTCGAATGATTTTTATTTATTTATATAAACACCGAGCCCAGTCTCATTACGAAATACTGCAAGGAATTTTTTTTCTTCTTTCATTTTTTTGTGCAAGGTGGGTGGGAGATATCCAGATCATTTTCCTACTTTGATCCTAAATAACCCGTAAATATCCAGTAACTGAGATGAATAACGTAGTCATGAGAGAGACTTAATATTGTTTGGTTGTTTACTGTGTCTCTGAGAGACACTTTTTTTTTCTATCAAGAGAGCTTCATTTTTCATCAAATTGATGATTGGCTGTTTTGTTCAAATAATTGCCAGTGGGAATCATACTCCTACAGAAGGAATATCTTTTCTTTTTTTTTTCTAATTTATGATATTCTCAATGCCGGGAGCAGCGTGTAGTTTAAAAAAAAGATTGGCGGGGTAATATCCGCACATCAAACACGGACATATCTAAAGAAGATGACATTAACTTCGGCCACTTCCTTTCACAATTTTGTTTACCCAAAGCTTTCTCTGTGTAATTTCTACTCGTATTAGGAGTTAGTTTCGTTTAGCTATACTGACATTAAGATTAATGTGAAGAAAATTCTGCACGGGCATTAGTTGGCAGAATTTCGACCCATTCTACCAAATAATCCGACCTAAAACAAAGAACAGCATTTTTGACATGAGATTATTATTAGTTATTATTATTATTATTATTATTTAAAGAGAAAACAACACGTCAACAAGGTGGTGGTGCAGTGGGTAGAAATACACGAATACCTATATACCTATTGTGAATGACAATGAACATGAAGACGTCTGAACAACGTAAATAGTGTAAATAATTAAAAGAGCTATATTGAAAGAGGGAATTTCATAATTTAGTATATTTCAAACTTTAAAACATTATTTCTAAACAGTAGCTGAATATCAGAAGAGAAGAGACCATTTTCATTCATAAAAATCATCTTTTTTTAAAAACAGATTGTGACATGCAATGAACAGTGAATACTTTACAACAACATGGAATGCAATAAGTTTCGGGACAAACACAATGCATCACCATCAATAGTACTAAAAGCCGGTCTTCATCCAAAAAGGTGATGTGTAAATGTGGAAAGGATTTCGCTACAATTTCAGTGAAACAAATAATTAAATTCAAGTATTGTTACCAATTAGAATAAATGAAGGTAGCAATTGACAAAAATGTTAGTTTACGAAAAAGATTGTTATGTGTGTACCAGACACATGCAATTATGAACTATATACTGACAAGTCGTGATAAAAAAACAACGCCGAAACATAAAGATCGGACTTCGTTCGAAATACCTACATGCCATCGAAGGTATACTCCTCAGAGAGTATTCGACTGAGAATCTTCCGAGTAATCTAAGTGTGACTCCTAAATGTATTTGGCAGGCTCATCCTTCAATTATAAAAATAACCCACTCGACATCTGGGCATAAGCCAATAATCTCGTTCATGAACAGTATCTCCGTTTCACAGCCGTTCCCAACGCCGTAACGTAGTTTGCGTCTGCTATTTCTATAAATTCTTTCCTGTAAACTTTTCCTATGAATTTAAGCGTTGTACCAAATTGTCGGCAAGGTCTCATTATGTTACAGTTAAAATGGCTTGATGTAACCTTAAGTTCTATGTTAACAATTTCTTCTATCACATTTCTCAGTTTTGGAACTTTCTTCCGGTTTCTTTGTTCCTAGGCAAATTTGATCTGCAAGAATTTAAATGCAATGATATTCGTTAACTTCTGTCTTTTTATCCTTGTTCTTTTATTGTTCTCTCTTCTTAATAGTATTTTTCTCTTAGTCTCTAATACTCAGGGACTCCCTTACATCTTAGTGGCTTTAATACCTTGATTGACAGTGAAATGATAAAAGGAGTCACATTTCATAAAAGACTCTGGTACAGAGATAAGTTCACGAAACTGACAAGCAAAACTGTAGTATTGAATGAAATATCTAAAGTCAGTTAATTCACCAAGAGAAAAAATAGAGGTTATAGTTTTAATCAGTTAACATTAGAATTTATAAGAGGTTTTATTATAATTATTATTAATAACTGTACTCGTTTCAGAATTAGTATTCACAAATTGGTAATTTCTGTAATTTACCAACAACTCTAGACCCACCGAGTTTATGTCATCAATAAAAAGATGAATAAATCAGTATATAATAATATTTTTTTTTGTTTATCTACCTCATGATAAGAAAATATTTTATGGTGGATAGGATCAATGTGTACGATAAAAGAGTATATTTGCATTCATTTGTGCTATTTACAGATGACATTTGAAAGATTAGAGTAGTATAATACAAGGTCGTTATAAAAGTACGCAGATGTAGGTTCCAGGTCAAACAAATATGTCCTCGATTAAGATGCTCTACCAGAGACACCGCCGTCGGTATACGTATATAGAAGCATTTTTGCAGTAGACGTATTATCCAACTGACAGTCAGATAGATATATGCATAGGGACAGGAAATATTTGTTGGCATGCATAAAAATATCATGCCATCTCAAAAATAATGATACTATATTTCCTTATATATATATATATATATATATATATATATATATATATATATATATATAATATAAAAGTCATGGAAATCACTTAGAGGCGATAGTCTGTTTCATGCTATATGCAATCGTCTGGACTGTTTCATGCTATATGCAATCGTCGTGGCCTGACGATTGCATATAGTATGAAACAGACAGTCGCCTGTAAGTGTTGACTTCCATGTTCACTTTATATTTACACACGCTCTATCTCTGATATTGAGCACTTTATCACATAAATATAGCACACCTAAAGACTATATTTCTTATATATATATATATATATATATATATATATATATATATATATATATATATATAATGTGTGTGTGTTTTATATATATATATATATATATATATATATATATATATAAAAATATAGAAATATTTAGGAGGATTTCATAATTATAATTAAGTATTTCATCGATTCTGCAAGAAACCTCAACAGAATGCAGAAAGCTCTGGACGGCCGTTTCGTCCTGTATTTGGGACACATCAGATGCAAAACATGCATGCACGTCCGTACACCCATTGAGATACACAGACACACATACACGCACGCACGCACCCACCCACGCTTTCCAATAAGTACAGCGCATATAATATATAAATAATATATATATATATATAATATGTTGCGCGCACACACACACACACACACACACACACATACATATATATATATATATAATTATTTTTCAAAAATATGAGCCTTCGCTACATAAGAGTCCTCATGTTTCAAAAACAAGAGCCAAAATCCTCAATATAATTATTAAAATTAAATTGAATTAAAGTATCTAAATTTTCGCTTGAAGATGAAACCGGGCTTGATACTTTAATTCAATTTAATTTTAATAATTATATTGAGGTTTTGGGCTACAGTAATAGAAACATGAGAACTCTTATGTAGGGAAGGAATCATATTTTTTTTTTTTTAAATAATTATAATTTAAGCTCTACTTTGGATGGAGCACTGTTTTTTTTAAATAAAAACATAAATACAAAAAAACTCCGTATTACTTATCTAACGTGTTCTTTCCTATTTTTCTATATATTTACACACACACACACACACATATATATATATATATATATATATATATATATATATATATATATATATATATTAAGATAAAAGGAAAGAATGAGATTTATAATCCAGAATTCTCAGAATTTTTTTTAAAACAGTGCTCGATACAAAAGTAGAGCATAATATTATCATTTTTTAAAAATATATGGACACAAATTATGTAAAAACTGTCCAAAATTTCTACGTATATGATTGCTTTCGCTTATTCATTTAGCTATTTTCATCGAAGAAACGTTTACTAAATATGTCGGTTTTTATATGTATGCGTCTAAAGTTATGGGAATGTTTTATCACAATCAGCACATTCTGGCCGTGTTCATATTTTAATGCTATTCACTGTTCCATTATATTATTATGTCCTCTGTTATTTTTAATGTTTTTACATGTTGATGGGGCTATTATACATGTATATTTTACTAGTATATTTCGGACTGTGTCTGGTAGGTTTTGTGTGTTTTTAAATGAGACCTAATAGAGCTATGGTTGTGTAGATGTAATGTAACTCATCTAGATATGCATGTAGTTGTGTGACCAATTTACATGTTTTGTTTAATCAAGAACCCTGTTCCTTAAGGATCATTTGAACTCGCAAATAATGTTGGTGTTCTGTAGTTTTGATTTTGCTGCCTTGGTGTTATTTTTGATGGCAAGTTTAGCTGTTTTAATGTTTTTAAATAGACAATTTAATTTTCTTGTCCGAGTCGACTGGGGTTGTGTATTTCTCTATGATATTTAAAAAAGTTCGCCTTACTTATAGTTGACATGTATTTTGTTTTTGTAGAAGAGTTTTTTGTCTGTATGCTGAATATCATTATTGCTTTAGAAAGAAATAGTCTAATCTGGTGGTCGATTACCTGAGAAAATTATGGTTCACTAGTGTCTGTTTTAGATTATTAGGGAATAGTGGAGGAGAGGAGGATGAATTCTCGTGTGCTCTCTTTAGGAATTTTTATAACTTCTTTTTTATATCATTCACTCTTAAAATTAAGGTGGGAAGAGTTTCTGATAGTGGGTCTTTCATATAATGAATTGTTGAAAATGTTATTCCTGAATTCTACGAGACCGTCTAAGAATGTGCCTAATAATAATAAAAAAAGGAAAAGGCAACACTCAGCAACATTAACTATGAACATGGTCACAAGGTGATAACCGTGTTCGTAAAATAAAACATTCCTATAACTTTAGGGACATACATAAAAACACATATTTAGTAAAAATTAACAAATAAAAATATCCCTTGATAACGGCTAAAAGAATAGCCGAAACCGCTCGTATATGCAGAACATTTGGACAGCTTTTACAAACTTTGTGTCCAGATAAGAAAACACTCATACGAACACATCAAAATTAAACAAAAAGTTTAATTACAGTACCTTGCCAGTTATACGTTACAAAACAAAAACACAAACAAATTAAGCATGTAGTTCTTAGTGATAACGATCCTTCTACGGATCATCTGTTTATAAAATGAACACTGCGGAATGTGGAAAGGTCCGCTCCTTCATTGAAATACATGGATAGACAATAGAGATTGACAAAAATACTGTACTCTGTTTCAATGTCACTCTCCCTATATATATATATATATATATATATATATATATATATATATATATAGAGAGAGAGAGAGAGAGAGAGAGGGAGTAAAGGTAATTAGTCCGTTGGTATATAATCCAAGTGGATCCTAGTAATATAAAATATTAAAACTGATCCACAAAACGACATCAATGTGCATATTCTTACAGAGGAAATGATTAATACACAATAAAATTCGAAATTACCTCACATAGAGAATAAGCTTATTTCAACCGACGAAAAAAAAATCGTCAGTCTTATTCAACCCCTGTATAGACTGAATTCCTGTCGGAATTAGAAATATAACTGTGAAAGGTACAAAAATAATTTTTTTAAAAAGTCGAAAATCTAATAAAAAATGTATCGATTTCAATTTTTCAGCCAGACGAAAGTCACGAGACAGCGGTCAGGTCAAATATGGCAGGTATTAGTCTTAAAGGGAAGAAGTTTTATAAAATTAAAAGCGGATATCAATCTTATGATATTAACATGAATATATATATATATATACATGTATATATATATATATATATATATATATATATATATATATATATATATATATATATATATATATATATATATATATATATATATATATATATATATATATATATATATATATATATATATATATATATATATATATATATATATATATATATATATATATATATATATATATATATATATATACATATATATATATATACATATATATATATATATATATATATATATATATATATATATATATATATATATATATATATATATATATATATATATATATATATATATATATATATATATATATATATATATATATATATATATATATATATATATATATATATATATATATATATATATGCTCGAAATAAAAAATGATCCATCTTGGGATGTAGTTTTAGACATCTCGAAATCACGTGACAGTTTTTGGCATACATAAGCTGAAAAGTTACAGTGAGAGCGTTTTTTTTTTGTTTTACTTATGTGGCAATTTAAGAATTTTTTTTGTTTAAATGTTTAGCAATCAACGTGGCATGAAGTAAATATTTCAATATGTAGAGTAATATCCCAGTTGTTTTCCCGAAAATTTGCACCTCGGATCAGTTCTTTTAGATCAAATATCAAATTTTATATCATTAACTTTATTAATTTACTTTTTGTATAAATGATTCATTGTCTTATAAATTAAACTGCAACACATATTAGTAAAAAAAACGCTCTTTTTTTATTTTTTTTAAAATTCAACCTTCGCAAGTTTCTATCTGTTATCAATAACACACTTCAGAAAAACATATTTCGATTTGCGCTATATTTTTTCATCATGGATGCTACCTGAATTTTACCACAAAGAAAATAGTTTCCATGCCTGATGATGGCCGGAAAATCCGTCACAATTATTTTCTTATTTAACGAAGACCTAATACAGTTTATAAGTTAAAAAAAAAAACAAGGATCATAAAATTCATCAAGTGGTTAGTGGGTTAATGCATCTTTAAAATTTAGTTAGCGAAGAGATTTCGCCATTTTATATCATTAACTTTACTAATTTACTTTTTATATGAATGATTCACATATTTCTGTATGTCTCTGTGTGGCTGCAAGTCTGTGTGTGTACATGTGTATGTGTACGCATATCACTTGATGACACATTATGTTACCGACCCCTCACACTTATGACCAGCTATAAAATATCACAAAATAAAGAAGAATCTTTGAACTTGGAAACACGCCAGAGAGTTTGATTTACACCCACACTATTGATCTGCATTCACAGCCCAATATTTTTTAATCCGTTTTTCTGCACTGTTTTCTTATCGTCGTTCTCCTGTCCACCACGTGTCCTGCATTTACAGTATGCAGACAGAAGTAATCTACAGAATATAGAAAGGATGTTCGAATGTGTCTGTTCCGCACAATACTCTAGACCTACAAACATTTATAAATACATTGAACTATTAAAATGGCAACCAGAAACACATTCTAACTAACCAATTAGATTGATGGAATATAGCAGCTTCGTTAAGTGAGAAGTCGCTGTGCATTTATTTGCAATTGGGTTACCATTCCTAAATTTGCATAATAAAATCACACAGCCCAATAAAACTCATTGTTAATATTTCTAAATTTGATAGACTCTATGATCTAACATTCACGGTGTATATTTCTTTTATAGATGTATGCTGTCAATTCGTTTAGTTAAAACTAATTCTATTTTGAATAAACCTGACCATAACTGTTTTAGCGTTATGCTGAGGTAGTGTTTACTAAACGCATATTCAGGATCCGGGCTTGAACCCATAATCACCTTTGATATGAAATAGCCAGTGAATCCCTCGTTATGTTTTAAGCTTGTGAACTCGGAAAGAGTCTATTAATTACCTGCGTATTCGAGTGGCAATATGTAAATGATGAAATAGTATTCACAAATCTGACTTCAGTTTGGGATAGATACATTTGACCGGAAGTTGAAGCATGTTTCTAAACACAAGATATGTGTTCATACACAAAACCAAAGTTAGGTGAAGCTAAGAAAAAGATTTTCCTAGGTCGTTCATTGAAAATTGTCATTACATTCAGCTGGAACGCCTATACGTACGACGTCGGATATATGCAATGAATGTAACTAAATTTGACACAAGGATACACGTATTGGGAACAAAGAACACATTGCTTACTACTCAGCAATAATCTCATGAAAAAGTGTCTGGCTAACCATCAGTCGACGTCTCGATGCTGATAAAAGTGAATTTGTCATGTAGTCAATCTTTTGCTAACTACGAATAACTGATGAATGTATGTACTCTGAAAACTTTTGATATCGCTGTACTTAGCAGTTGAAAAAAAATATTGATTTCTAGAAAATTTTTGATAAGAGGAGAATAGTTTTATACCGTTAACACTAAATATATAGGTCGTAATTTACTTTTTCTGCGTTACAAATTCATATTTAAAATCGAAATTATGGACAAATTATCGCATTAAAACCTACATAAATTTAAACGCACGTTGATATTATTCAGTGTCATTTTTATTTTTTATTTTTATTATATGTATGTATATATATATATATATATATATATATATATATATATATATATATATATATATATATATATATATATATATATATATATATATATATATATATATGTCGTTTTGCTAACATTAAAATGCATTTTGAAATTTTCCATAGTTGGTTAGGCATTCAAATATTTTGGCAAAATCTGTGTTCTTCGACGAAAATTAAATTTCTAAAAAAATCTATATTTCTGTTTTAATTTGAAATTCTATTGCTCATCGCATCACTGACAACAAGTCATTAAATAAAATGATGAAAGCTAATCTACAACGGCGTAACAATTACCCCATTTTCTCTCTTTTCAAGATTCTGTCTTGGTTTTTGCAAATATTGCTCTGAACTATTATTTTAGAATTTTTTTAACAAAAATAATAATCGAATCTACAAACATCATTTGGAAATCGGTGCACCGAGTAAAAATTCCAGTCATGCCCGATATATTCACTTACGCACAAGTAGCATTGTAAAAAGTAGGAGTTCACTTCTTCTACCAGGTATCTAAATATTTAAATAGTAGGAGTTCTATGCTTAAATCATTATTATCTAAAAATATTACAATCCCCAAAATTATGTTCTGTTTTTAAATAACCTGAAAAATGTAGATAACTATTAAAACATGTGAATCAATATAGTAATGAAAATATGAACTAAATTAACAACCATTGCCATATTTTCAAATAAGCCAGCAGGAGATTTATATCAAATTTGCTTTCAGATCCAAAGAACTTCCTTCCGGTTCCATGCCACACACAGATATATATATATATATATATATATATATATATATATATATATATATATATATATATATATAAAAGTTTGTCTCATATCAATACAACGATTTATATATATATATACACACACACACACATAAGTTTATCTCATATCCATACAACTAATATATATATATATATATATATATATATATATATATTCGCTTGAGGATGAAATGGAACTAATGTTTTTAATTTAATTACAAAATTAAATTCGGTGCTTTTAGCTTCCATTTTTGAAACATGGTTAGAACTGTGTAGCGAGAAAACATATTTTAAATCATTTAATTTATAATACACACACACACACAGATATATATATATATATATATATATATATATATATATATATATGTTTGTTTCATATCAATACAACTATATATATATTGTAGGAGTCAGTCTCATATCTATAGTATTAAATATATTAGGTCTATCCTTTTCAAAATATCTCCAACGATATTACGCTATCAACCTGGGTATTCAATCTACCTATAATCATTTCAGCTTGTCATTACAGCGTCTGGTGATATACGGTACAATTCCGACGGTTTATCTCGTCAGTTTCTACAGAAGAAGGAATTTTTGCGTCAGCTGGTTCTTAGCCGCTAAAAGACACTCGGCCATACTTTGTTTTCTACATGAGAAATAAGCTACATTTATTTAGGCGATGTTTCAATATTTCTGTTTTACTTATTTAGTCAAATGAAAAAGTTCAATAACAACAATGCCGGGAAATCTAGCTGGATGCGCGCCAGGAAAAGTTCATAAAAATGCGAATCACAGACCGACTCGGTGCTTTGTAGATAATAATACTAATTAATGGAGGTGTAATTTATGTCCGATAGCACATGCGATGATAATAGTTACGCAGCAGCCGAACAAGCGATTTTTTTCCATCCCAGACTCGTTCAATAATATCTGCCCCTCCGATTCCAGTTTATACAAGATTCACTGTTGTCTTTGCTTACCTCACTGCTTGTGTTTTGCAGTTATCTAAAAATCTATAAAGTTGCTTTATAAACTTTGCCGTGTTGACAGGGGTTAGTGGGATTGGGGTAATTTTTATATTATTATTTTTTTTCCTAATCTTTCAGTTCTATTTTGTTTACGGTTGCTAAATCGAGTTGAGCGAATAATCGATACAAATTTGCTCACGAATTAAGATAACTGATTTAATTGCGCACTGGGAACTTTTCTCTATCTTTCCCTTTCTTTATTTCTCATTCATTCTCTCTCTTCATCTTTCCTTTCTGCTTTCTCTCTGTCTCTCTCTGTCTCTGTCTCTCTCTGTCTGTCTCTCTCTCTCTCTTCCTATCTACTTCGCGTTCAATTTCGATTATGCTCTCCAATATTTTCTAGTAGGAATCTTTACATGCAAGCGCCACTCTTTCCAACATTGCGTTTTAACTGATGTAGATATTTATGGAACGCAGCGTAGGTCAATCAAAGCAAAATCCCAGCAAGATTATGCTGCGCCAGTCGATGAAATGTACTTGGCGGTTTGACATGAATATAGGTATTACGAGATTTAGGACACAGACAATTTGTTCAGATGAATACAATTATAACAGAGTCAGTCTCTAAATAAGTTCAGCCGAATTACATCTTGCGATTCCCTGGCACCAGAACAAAAACGAAATCAGTACAACGAAAATCTGAGACACGAGTTCAATGCGGGACACTGGTGAAAATTATATATACGATCCCTCGAAAAAGCAGCTGCTAGAAATTCTCTAACTCTACCTATCTTACATTGAATATTGCTGTCACGTCAGATCTGGTACTTCAGGTATATATTTAGAGATTCTCGATTAAATCCAAATAAGTATCTACAACATTATTCGTCCTGACATGACATCTTGTTGCCAGTCACTTTTCAACCGATATAGTGATTTTCCAAGCGTAAATTGTATGCGGCAAAAGAGCGAAAGTAAGGGGCACCCAGTGAGGATTGAACTCACTACTCAGTCGTAATTGTTCTAGCGAGACAAGCTTGTTAACCATTATCCCACCCCGAGGTGCCCCAATTTGCAACCGATATAACGTAGCTTCCCTCTGTCTTTTCTACAAAGGCCTCCATAGGAATTGTTCTGGTAAGCTTTCCACTTTTATATCTAGAATATATGAATAGTTATAATGAGAACTGAGACCTTGCCACCAATTTAAAATAGTTTTAAATTGGTGGCAAGTTTTCATGATTTTACTGTTGATATTGCCAAATGCGACTATACGTTCCAAGATAACATTTTTTTCTCTCCTACGCTTCGCTGGTGGGACGTCCTTTCGGCTCAAATCTGATCCTCAAAAATTTAAATGTAATATCAATCGTTATCTTTTGTATTCTTAATGCCAGTTCTTTTATTGTTCTCGTCGTAAAAATGTTTTATTCTTTCATATTCCTACACCCGTTCTAGGTATAAAGATAAGCTACATGCGACAGCAAGGGCTTTGATCGTGAGATTTCGAGGAGCATAGGACCACCTCTTAATTGCTGCTGTTCCCAAATCCACCCTGACCCCGGGTGGTACGACTTGTTATAGTCCTAGCTATGGGCAAATAATTACCCTTCAGATTTGCGTCAAAACAATATGAAAGTATAAAAGTTTTTATAGAAAAAATACCAGCAATACATTTTCATGGTAAATAAATTACCATCAAAACGTTTTTGTAAAAAGAAACATTACCAGCAATAGATTTCTTTAACCTTTGTATTATTAATGTCTATGGTTGACTGGAGTAGGAAATGTCTTGTTATCTATAATGCCTCCAAAACGAAACTGCTCTCTTTTACCCACCACAAAGAACCCATTCTGCCTCCCATCAGAATGGTTGATGCCCAACTCCTCGAGAGAACTTCATTACGCCTGCTTCGTCTCACATGAGGTGGAACAAATACATTGAATCAATAGCTTTATTTATCGCAACGAAAGCTGGTTTTCTTTGTCATGACAGAAAGTGCATCCTTGAAATCTATAAATCAACCATCCGTCCTTGTATGGAATATTGCTGTCATATATAGCCTGGTGCCTCCGCTGTACGTCTCGAGATCCTCGACAAAATCCAGAGACGAATATGCAATGCGATAGGTCCTGATCTGACATCTCGTCTACAGTCACTTTCTCACAAAAGTACAGTGGCATTCTTTTGTCTCTTCTACAAGTAGTTTCACTCTTTCGGCGAGCTACTTTGGCTGGTTCCCAGACAGCATAAATCTAAGCGAGCTACTAGGCTGGCATCTCGTTCCCACCCTTTCCCTGTGTTGAAACTTGGATAAGCATGGAATAATAATAATACAATACAAAATGTACGTAAACAAAATGTATTGAAACAAGGAAAAGGTACACAATATTTACAGTTAGTTTTGGTATATTCTTGGGAAGACTGTTCCTGTAGAATGGGTTGACTTAATCGCAGTCGGGCAGAGTCTCTCGATTGGATCTCTTGTTACTTCTCCCTCGTCTTCCGGTACCAACCCCTATTTATATGGTCGGTACTCCACTATGTAAATTAGGTGGATCGTACCACAACACCCTGTCGAAATGCTTAAATGTAAGCATCTCTTCTACTCAAACATCTTGTTCTTTCGCATTTCCCCTCCGTGG